TCGCACTGTCGGGGTCCGATAAAATGTGGTGTCTTCGGCTGCGCTAGACCCACCTCTGGTCTTCTTGACTTTGCCGTGATACCGGGCACAGATGGGTGAGAAGGAGAGAATGTGGTAGATATTGCGCGAGTCTTCTATCACTTAAAACTAGTTTACGCGCAAATCACTCTTCCTGCACCACTTTGTTGTAGAGTGTATGGTGAACACCGTCGAAACTGACGATCGAACTGTCCGTTGGGAAAAGAGTGCTGGTGTGGTGAATGTGACCAAGTAAGCCCATAAGGTGATTGAATATGCGTGAACGGTTTGGGCAGGTGGCGTGAGTGTATGTTGGTGCCTCCGGAACTTGTTCGTCAGTCTCTATGTTAGAATCGCAAATGACCGACCATGCCATCTGTAATGGCAATGTGCGCAGGATATGTTGGGTGCTGCGATGGCTATGTTACTAATGGTTGTCGCGTTTGTAGCTAGGGCATTGTAAGTGTTTGTGGTGGGAGGTTTCGAGTATACTTGATTTTTGTTGTTCCTACTATACGTTGTGCTTTTGTAAATGTGCATAGGACCCAGTAGGCCCATTTGGTGGGTGAATGTGCATGGGCAGTGTGTAAACTTGAGGAGGATGTGGAGTGGTTATGTCTATGGTCGGAGCTGGAGGCATTGTATTGTTAGAAGTGATTGCGTTTATCGTTTATGACAGAGATGATGGAGGTGACAGTGGCATGGGGGATTGGCTAGGGCGTTGGCTGTATTAAAGCCTTCCCATCGCTGACGTGGATTCGAATCCCATTAAGGCCACCGGGTTTCTCACATTTGGGTCAAATGAAATATTCAATCCTGCTAAGCCCTCATCACTTCTAGTTAAGTGTGACATCCGGAGGATTTTAGATCGATTGCTGCGGAAATATTGCTTGGACGGTCAGCTTTCTCTATCACAACTGGTTGATTCTGTACGTCGCAGTAGGCTGGAAGGGTAACTCGATTCAAGTGTTATAAAACTCACGGCTCCCGGTGGGAGCCTCGTCGCTCAGTTGGCTAAAGTTTTGGCTGCATTAGAAAATCCCCTTTGGTGGCGAGGCCGCAGAGCTTTTCACAATTGAGTCAAATGAACTTTATTTACAGTTAAAGTCATTAGTACTTTACCGTATCTTATCCCTCACCCGTTGCGAATGGAGACAATTTTGCCTAAAAATTTGGATGGCAACTTCAAAATAAAGCATTTACCTCTCTCAATAGTAATTTATTATAATAATTATAGTCATGGTACATAAGAAGCAATTACCTTTTAGTGGAAGTATGACTATTTGTTGCGTATGTTCACGGAGCCCACAGATGGCGATAACTGTTGACACACACATTTCGGGGCTTGTTACAAGAAAAATGTCTCACTGTATAAATATGTCAAGCCAAGTTGTACCTCCAATAATCAGACTATATTTTCTCATGGCCCATGTCTAGACCCTGAAAAGTGCCAGTAAAATTACAGGAACTTAACAGCTCTTTCGTCTAATTACTCATCCCTTTTCTAGCCAAAATTTTTCCTTTAGCCTTTGGTTTCTCTTGTCATTGATTACCATCGCCGTCCCTTTCGTTCTAGTGTTCGACATTCGATTTACGTTTCACCTTTTTCTTATACCTGTATTCTTTATTATTAGAACTTGTTCGGATAATTTCGATTGACGTGGGACGTTTGTATGGACTACAGGCACTTTCGATTTATCAAAAGTCTTGACGGTGGTGACCGTGGTTAGCATCATTAATCGCACCGTACTAACATTTAATTATATGTGTATGAATCGCAGGAAAAAAACTGATAGATATGTAAAATATTCACGGAATAGTACAACCTGTTGTTAAGCCATATGCCAAACGGTGCTCAAGCGAGAATGTTAAAGGTCAATTAAGTTGCGACGTCAGCGGCGTAAAGAACGACGCCGCAGGAAATATACAAGTCTAAACAAGGTGAGTAACTAGGCGATTGGGGAAATGAACGTGGCGTATTTGTGGTAATTATCAAACTCTGAAACATATCACTTTGCCTGATTGTCAACCCATTTCACATCTTCAGGTCTTTGCTGGTACCCTGTTTGGAAAGTTTTGTATTCTCAAAGATCGATCCGGTCCGTAACCTTTATCAGATCTCTATAGCTTCAGAGAACTTGTCAAAGACATCCGTCACAGTCGCCATTGGCCTCTTTTATTTCCTGCACATGCCGTTCGGACTCCGCAACACTTCACAAAATTTCCAAAGGTTCGTAAACGGTGTGCGTCGTGGATTTCCTTTTGCCTTCATCTACATAGATGACTTTTTGGTTGTTAGTCCCACCATCACCAAACATATGGAGCATTTCGCGACGGTGTTTATACGCCGTCAACAATTTTGCGTTGCCCCCAACCTCTCCAAGTGAGTCTCTGGCTCTTTTCAGATTCTTGTGTACCTGGCTGACAGCAAATGAAGGCATTATATCCCTTCTAAGCTTGGAGCCATCCATGAATCCTCGCCATCCTCTTTCAAACGTCAACTGCAGCGAGTTTTTGTTAATTTAATAAATAAATAAATTTTATATTTTAGGCCCGGAGGGCCTCGTCATTGC